AAATGATCTGTATGTAGCCCTGTACTATGGATCATTTAACCCATTCATGTTAGCAGAGGATCATTGTAAATGTATTGTTGCAGGCACTCTATATGTACATGTACTATATACTACATATAGAATGCACTGAACAATAGATTTACAATTATCCTCTGCTAATATGAATGGGTTAAATGATCCATAGTACATGATATGTAGCCCTGTACCCCCTTTTCCACTTACAGAGCTAGGTTATTGTTTTTCTTTGAAATAAATATTCATGTAATTTTATTGGTATCTATCTTCATTTTGTACATTTACCAGTAGCTGCCTCATTTCCCACCCTAGGCTTATACTCGAGTCAATATTTTTTCCGAGTTCTTTGTGGTAAAATTAGGTACCTCGGCTTATATTCGGGTCGGCTTATACTCGAGTATATACGGTATGTGTGCACAATTATTGGGCCACTATTAGTGTGCAGAATTATTATGCAACTAAAATGGAAAACAACTTTTCCCATCTCACTCGTTTATTATTCTAAAATTTAAACAGATGAAAATAAACAAACTAAACATTTACAAATAAAAATTTCTGACATTTTTAAAAACAAAATCAGTGACCAATATAGCCCCCCTTTTTTTCAATAACAGTCATAAGCCTTCCATCCATGGAGTCTGTCAGTTTCCTGATGTGTTGACGATCAACTTTTTGTGCAGTGGCAACCGCAGCCTCTCAGACACTGTTCAGAGAGGTGTACTGTTTCCCTTCACCGTAAATCCCCCGTTTAAGAAGGGCCCACAAGTTCTCTATAGGGTTTAGGTCAGTTGAGGAAGGGGGCCATGTCATTATTCTTTCATCTTTAAAGACCTTTATGGCTAGCCACGCAGTGGAGTACTTCGATGCATGCGATAAACCATTGTCCTGCATAAATATCACGGTCTCCTTGAAAGATGCAGACTTTTTCCTGTACCACTGCTTGAAGAAAGTGTCTTCTAAATACTGGCAGTAGGTTTGGGAGTTGATTTTGAGTCCATCTTCAACCCGAAAAGGTCCAACTAGCTCATCTTTATTAATACCAGCCCATAGCAGTACCCCACCTCCACATTGCTGGCATCTGAGTCGAAGTGGAGCTCTGTGCCCATTACTAGTCCAGCCACGGGCCCATCCCTCTGGCCTGTCAAGAGGGCTGTACGGCTCTTATTGGTGGTGGGGCTGTACCGCTTTGGGGGGGGGTTGTGCTGCTCTCAGGGTAGGTCAGCTGCGGCTCTCTAAAAATAAAATTCCGACCGTCCAGGATCGCACACGTATGCGATCCAAGCCGATCACAATCAGGCAGCGCCGGCCTCTAAACAGGCATATTAGATGGGCATGCGCTGGGGCCTCTCAGGGTCCTAGGGAGGAGCAACCGGCCATTTAATTTGCAGGGAGGGCCCCACGTGCCCTCTCTGGCACGCATGCCATAGGTTCGCCTCCACTGTCCTAAATGCTTTAAGACCTGCACCCATCTTTTGCAAGGTAAAGTTTCTACTGGTTGACTTTGCACAAAGCAATTAATGGATTACAGGAAATGTTGCAGTGTTTTATAGATGAAATATCTAGAATACCTAAAACCAGTGGGTTACTTAGATCGTAAAGGACCCATGGGTGAGATCTGTAAATAATGGTAAAGCCTCGTAGTCAGGCAAAATGAATAATATGCCCTTTCCCTTTCAATAAATATTTTTAAAACAAATATTTGAATAACCTCCATTTAAAAAAAGAGAAAATATGTAGAGCTGTGGGACCACAGACAAGCGACTCATCAATGGATATAGTTTTTTTGTCTTTACTTTGCCTGCCCGGGTCTGAAACTGGGAGAGAAGTATTGTCCCCAAACAGGAGAGGCAACTATTTATTTGCTATAGGAAGTTTAGAAATATAGGCTTACAGCACTCTAGTCTCTGTCTTGCCCATTGTTCCCAGGCGACACAGGGGCTCCACCAAATTTTTTTAACCGTAATTCTCCTTCAAATATTCTTCCTACCAATGTCTTCGACATTAAATACTTAGAGACAAAACTTGATTCTACACGCCAGGAATACGGACAATGGCAAATATGTATCTGCCGAACCTAGGCACAACCCTAATCCCAAATGTTTAAGTGACATTAAAGTCACGTTTTTTTTTCCCATTCTAAATCTGCTTTTATGCGATACCTCTTGCTGTGATCATCTTTTTCCTTCCACTCTTTTTCAGCAGTCCCTCCAGCGCTGGTGCCGGTCTCTGATCCAGCGCAGACTTCTCTATCATCTGTGTCCCAGAGTCTGTCCGGCGTGCATTCACTGACACAGTGTCTCTACTTGCCGGTGACATGGACTGCGCATGCGCCCATCCACATCATCCTCCTGCGCAGACACAGGTAAGTATTTCATATTTGGTCACTTTTTTTTTTATATTGTGGCATATATCTACTGCTTGCTAGCAGTAGATATATGGGAAAAAAAAAAAAGCAGATACTTTAATTCTACTTAACCAGAGCTACCTTACGCTGCACGTTTCTCAACTGTAAATGAAAATTCATACTTGAATATACCTTTTATCTAAGATTAGACTTAACATACAGTATATCCCACAGAACACTTCATTAAAAAGCACCAAGTAGTCGTCACATTTATATGCACTTTTTATTTTGTCCCTTGGCTACAATTTTTCAGACTGGGTAAGCTCTTTGCTATGAACCTTGTGACTACCTACTACTAGGTGAATAAATGAGATTAAAAAAAGGACTTGGTTCTGACCCTAGAGAGGGCTCAGGCCACAGTAGTTATAAAGGATCGTAGTAGCCAAAGTAAATATTCAAATATTCTTAGCTTCCTAGTATAAAGTGCTGCTCTGTACCAAAACCGCATATTGAAAGCAACAAGATCATTTCTCCAATGGGACTATCCAATAGATTTACCTCCTGGGTTTAAACTGTGCTGGATTATGAATTTTTGGCTACTTTGCAGTTATATTATATAGTGCACTTCAACGAGCAGTTTATTGGATTTATTAATACACAAATCATTGGTCTGAGTATACTTGGGGACTTGATAATGAACCCGTGAGAATTACAACAGTGAGAATTATCCACACAGCTCCGGGCCATTTTTTATAAAGAGAGGGCATGGAGCCAAACTCCAGCTGGTATCTGTGGGATACCACCTCCGGCACCCAGAAGTCTGAGATGCATGCTGTCCAATCAAAAGGTTAAACGTTCCCACACACTGAGAAGTGGAAGCACACCTTCATGCTGAGAAAGGCATGTCTGAGGATTTGGCAGCCTTTGAGCTCCAGAGCATACGGGTGGAATGAGACCCCAAGCAAGGGGGGTTTGACATGGAACCTGGAACGACAGCCTTATAAACTTTAAAAGCACCCAAGACTGGAAACAGCACTGGTAGACACAACAGACTGATCCTCTCGTTTTAGAGCGGTGCGCACTCTAAAATCAATAAGAACTGAAACAGTCTCTCTAAATTTGGAAGTAATATCAGTAGACTACAACTTCTCAGAGGCAAGCTCAAAGACTGGACGGACTCAGGATCAGAGTCTCAGGGGCTGATAGCTCAAACGCTGCCAAGGTCAGGCACAGTATCTGTGAGAGAAAGTGAGGAACCACGCTTGTGGTCACAATCAGCAAATAACTGGTACATTTGGGCCATAAAGTCTTGCATGACTGCTGTGAAAATCTCAGCAAAAAGGCAGAGGAAGTGACCAGCTGCCCGGAGATAATGAGGGCTCCCATGACTAAGAGAGAGAGTGCAACATGATTCCAGGCTACAGACATCAGCACCATCAATAGCCATGCTGCAAGTAGCCCAAGATCAGTTATTTGAATGTGAGCTAGGGGCTCCCATTACAGCGGGGCCCTTAAGCGCCCCCCATGACTAGAATGAGACAAGTTGCAAACATATGGTGGTAAGGCAACAAAAGAGCCAGGGTATGAGGCAAGGCTGAGGCCTGGTTCACACCTGGGCGATTTACAGCGCGTTCCTACGCTCTGTAAAACGCTCAACATGAGAAAACCAAATGATTGCCTATGGGCATGGTTCCCACCTGGGCGTTTTACAGCGTGTAGGAACGCGCTGCAAAACGCCCTACGCCCAAAGAAGTACAGGAGATTCTTTGGGGCGTATTTGCCACACGTATCCATTAGGATACAGCCAGGTAGCCGTCGGAAACGCGCGTTTGTCGCGCATTTTTTAAATGCGAATCGCGGTAAAAACGCGCATATTCAATACGCCTAGATGTGAACCCAGCCTGAAGGTACTCATCAAACCCAGAGGTGATGAAAGTCACTGAAGGTGGACAGCAGGAATGGACCAAAGATCAAAGTTACATGTAGCTCTTTACAAGCTGGAGCAGAAGCAGGAAGATGTATATCGGGAAAGGGTTGGACAATGTATATCGGGAAAGGGTTGCGGAGCGTACGCATGCAACACTACACCCATCAGATGATGTCAGTGCTCAGTCCCAGCATTAACACTTTCCATGGTAGAAACCAGCAAGAAATGGGGAATTTTAGGGACATCCAGCTACCTATGTAATTGAGGTAGCTCCCAGTGTCTGACTCAACATGTCTACTCACAAACTGACTCTTCAGAGACAGGGGAAGAGTGGAGGTTTTTGGCAAGTTGGACCTAGAAAAAGGGCAGCTGCTAATCTGTACCAGAACAGGGTCTGGAAAGAGCCCTTCAAGGAACACTGTGCCTGAAAGTCATTTCTAGCCTAATCTCGTTATGTTAAGCCCAGCGGGGTCCAGACACAGCACATGCAAATCCAGGAGGGGGATGGTTGTGTTGGGTTGTTGCATTTGGAGACAGGCTCTAGCAGTGATTTAGAGAAGAGTCTCAAGCGAAGAGAAAAACATGAGTTGATTACCTGATAACTCTGTTTCCAGGGCTCCTCTGCCAATCGGATGTCCACGAAATTAGACAGTGCAGCAACCTGCACTTTCAGAGTACTACAGGAAAGCCCTTTGTCCAAACCGCCCTGCAGGAAATCCAACACCAATGGCACTGTGGCCACCGCTGGCCTACCCTGACTGCTGTACTAGCTGGAAAACACTTTCCACACCTTCAGGTAGATCGCAGATGTCACCGGCTTTCTACTGTGCAGCAGTGTAGTCACATTGATGTGTTTCCTGTTGCAGGCAGGCGGAGCCTATATCTCGATGGCTGTCCTGGAAGATGACTGGGGAAAAAGTTAAGGTAAAAAGGTGCTTGCAAAAATAGGTTAGTCTTTTTCACACCAGAGCTGAAGAAAAGATGTCCATCCTACTAGGACACTAGCAAGAAACTGAGGCATATCCACCTTTAAGCCCTGGTGCTGATGAGACCCTACACAGCCCAGGTGAGTCCCTATTGGTTAAACCAGGGCACTGTGGGCTCTCACCAGGCCTCTGTCTGGTCTCACCAGGGCGAGATAGGGTCTCACCAGCACCAGGGCTCCGTAGGGTCTCACCGGTGCGCTGTGGGGTCTCAACAGCCTGGTTAGACCCCTTCATGGCCCTGGTGAGACCCCACAAAGCCCTGGTTAAACCAGGGCTCTGAGGGGGCCTCACCAGGGTAGCAGGGTTCTGTGGGGTCTCATCAGGGCCCTGTGGGGTCTAACCAGCCTTGCTAGTCCCGCAGAGCTCTGGTGAGACCCCCTTTAGTGCCCTGATGAGACCCCACAGAGCCCTGGTTAAACCAGGGCTCTGTGGGTCTCACGAGGGCTCCATTGGGTCTCAACAGCACCAGGGCTCCATAGGGTCTCACCGGTGCTCTATGGGGTCTCACCAGCCTGGTTAGACCCCTTCAGGGCCCTGGTGAGACCCCACAGACCAGGGTTCTGTGGGGTCTCACAAGGGCTCTGAGGAGGCCTCACCAGGGTAGCAGGGTTCTGTGGGGTCTCATCAGGGCGAGATACCAAAGAGCAGGGCTCTCCACAGGGCTCTCACCTGCTTTCCACAAGGCTCTCCAGGCTGCCACTCCAGTACTGTGTGTGCTGTGCTGGCCATCTCCATCAGCTTCTGCAGTTAAACTCCACCCTCCCAGCCAGAGATCCTCGTGTGGTGGATGGGAGGGGTCTCTTCTCATTGGCTGGTGGGCGGAGCTCCGTGCAAAAGACCGAGCCGATGGTCCGCACCAACGATCAGGTAACGGATGAGCTCTCAGCCCTGTCACTGTCAAACTGAGAGCCTCAGTTTGACAGCTACAGGGATGAGAGCTCGCAACGCTACCTGGCTGCCGTTCTGACAGGGCAAACTAGGCGGCCGCGAGGCCCTCGGGAGCGCGAGGCCTAAGGCGACCGCCTAATTTGCCTAATTAAAGGGCCGCCTCAGATCAAACTAAACTGACCCAGTTTAGGTTGATGTGGGAGTCAACATCATCCACACAGCCAGCGGTGCATTAAAATTGCTACTGTACTGAGCACAGTTCACACTTACATAAGTAGCCAGGACAGCAAAGCATAAATCGCATGAAGAAGTAGTGTGCATTTAAACATGGTCTTTGCAAACACTAATTAGGCTCGAACAGACCTCAAATGATAAACAAAAAGTCTCTGTGCCCGTAAAGCCTAAGCCACTAAAACACTAGTGTGATGGACATTTTTAGATAGTACGGTTTACCATTTTTAAGATCAACTAATTTAATAAGTGGAGCTCCACTAGCCGATTTCTCTTCTTTCTTTCACAAGCTATATGCCAAGATTTACTGAAGTTCCTTCTGGATGCTTACATTGTGTACTGTTTAGTGTGAGCAGTGAATGGACTATCAATATTATCTGGAACCAACACAGCAGAGAATATTACCAAGTGAGCTAGACCTCTCTCCGAGAGTCAAACAGCGGTGTCAAGTTCCCGTCCAATTTATGCTGAAGAAACAAATTTTGGTTGGAGCTGTAACCAACTAGCTAAATCCTAGACACATACAGTTGTGTGAAAAAGTGTTGGCCCCCTTCCTGATTTTTCATTGTATTGCACGTTTGTCACACTTTAATGTTTCAGATCATCAAACAAATTATTGGTCGAACAGGATGCCACTACAAAAAAAAAAAAGTGAAAATTAAATAAGGAATTGCTATATACACATACACTATATTGCCAAAAGTATTGGGACATCCCTGCAAATTATTGGATTCAGGTGTTCCATTCACCTCCATGGCCACAAGTGTATAAAATCAAGCACATAGGCATGCAGACCGCTTCTAAAAACATTTGTGAAAGAATGGGTCGCTCTCAGGAGCTCAGTGAATTCAAGCGTTGTACTGCGATTTAAAGGAGAACTATGAGGTGAGTACTTTTCACTCATCCTCCTAGTTCTAGCCGACCTGTGACAATGAAACTGTCACAGGTCGGCTCAGTAGATCGGGAAGTGAGCGAACACATACCTGCGTTCGCTCACTTCTCGATCCTGTCACGGCTCTCTTCCGTGACAGGGGAGGGACTGGATGCCCCCCTTCCCCACTCCGATCCTCCAGCGCTGACTGGTGGAACGGACGGGGGAGGTGGCGGGTACAGCTGGCTCTGCCTCTAGACAGGCAGAGTCAGCTGTCACTCACGCAGCTGGGCGGATCCGGACATAATTGTCGGTATCCGCCTCAGCTGCGGCGTCTCAGTATAACGCGAGCTGTAGCTCGCGGTATACTGAGCTTAGGGTGACGGGAGGACGCTAGTTTGTGTCCTCCCGTTACCCTAACGAGAACTATGGGGAAAAGCCCTAACCCCATCGTTCTCCTTTAAGGCATTTTGGACAATTTCATGCTCCCAACTTTGTGGGAACAGTTTGGGGATGGCCCCTTCCTGTTCCAACATGACTGCGCACCAGTGCACAAAGCAAGGTAGGATGGCCCCTCCTGTTCCAACATGACTGCGCACCAGAGCACAAAGCAAGGTCCAGAAAGACATGGATGAGCGAATTTGGGGTGGAGGAACTTGACTGGCCTGCACAGAGTCCTGACCTCAACCCAATAGAATACCGTTGGGATTAGTTAGAGTGGAGACTGCGAGCCAGGCCGTCTCGTCCAACATCAGTACAGGACCTCACAAATGTGCTTCTGGAAGAATGGTCAAACATTCCAATAGACACACTCCTAAACCTTGTAGACAGCCTTCCCAGAAGAGTTGAAGCTGTTATAGCTGCATAGGGTGGGCCAACTCAATATTGAACCCTACGGACTAAGACTGGGATGCCATTAAAGTTCATGTGTGTGCAAAGGAAGGCGTCCCAATACTTTTGGCAATATAGTGTATCTACTAAAATATAACAGAGACAAGCTGCTTGCGTCACCATATCTCCACTTCAAACTCCCAGGTTTCAACACTGGAACTTTAACCCCTTCGTGACGGGAGACGTACACTGTACGTCCAGCCACAAAGGGACCAAATGACTCGTCACGTACACTGTACGTGACGAGTTATTTGCTGCACTAGAAGGCTGCTAACCGCTGAGAATCAGCGGTTACCTTTCAGTAATAGATGTCTAACTATCTAGAGATCCATTACTGAAAGGGTTAACCTTTTTCAGACACCCGATACCTTAATATCGGGTGTCTGAGAGTCACAGCAAAGCAGAGACACGTGTCGGCTTTTGCCAGACACACATATGTGATATAAATATATAGCCCTATCTGTCCTCTAAAAAACAATATATAATATGTGTGGGTGCACTTTGTAAGAAAGTATATTACTGACGTGGAAGAATCACACAGCAAAAATGTCAAAAGTGTGTCAGTCATTTACGAACAGAAACCAAAAACAAGCTCAGTCATGAAGGGGTTAAAAAACAAAACTGCAAGGAACTAGGCACTTTATTGCAAAAGACACATAATATGTTTCTTCAGCAATTAAACTAACATGCCTGTTTGAGAAGGTGAGGGCGAGAGAGAGCGGAATATATATGGAATACATGGTCTTCTTACTCTGGTGTCAAAACGTAAAACACCACTCTCGCCTTCTCTTTGTCTAGCTCATTCTCTCTGCTCCAGTTCTTGCTCGCTCTCTGCCACGCACCAGCTCTCACTCTTCTGGCTCTCTCCTTCACTCCATCTATCACTCCCCCTCCAACTCATCTCTCCTCGATCCTCATTCTCTTTCTCCCCACAGTATCTCTGTCCCCTTTGGACAATAGGGCCACATTTTAGAAATTGTATAATACGTACAGCAACATCTAGCAGTAATTCACCACGCGTCCCATGCAGGATCTTCACCAGATTTCCAATGCTCTTTTCCCAAATGTAGAGTGCATGTTGCCGTGCAGAGCCTGCTACGATATACTCCCCATCTCCAGAGAAGCAGCACTTCTTCCAAGGAGTTCTGTGAAGGAGACAAATTTGAGCTTTACATATTTCTGCTGATTGCTACCGTAGAGCAAAAGCAACCTCAATGTTCAATGGATCCAACTATATTTGGTAAAAGAAAGTTTAGTCACTGTTGATATGACCCTAAAGAAAGATTTTCACAAAAATTAACCACTTGACGTCCGCCCGTTGTAAAAAACCGGACGGACGGCACTGCAGCATTGGCAGGTTGCCGCCTCCAGACGGCATTTTTTTTCTGCTCGCGCGTGCCCCCTAGCGGGCACGCACAGGCAGAAAAGACCCGACCAATGCAAACACCGTTACTGGGTGTTTCACATATAGACGATCGGCGGCTCCATAGCCCGCCGATCGTCTATATGTGCTCGTTTTTTCGCTGTGAATGCAGAAGTGATGTGTCTTACATCACTTCCGCATTCACCTGTCAGTTATCTGGCTGCTATCGCCAGAGAGAAGAAGCTGATGAAGCAGATCTCTGCTTCATCAGCTTCTTTTGGGCTCCACAGGTGACATTAGGGGTCCTAGAGACCCCTAATGTCTCCATAAAGAGAACCTGTCAGTGTGCCTTTGCTATTATATAGGGGGATTTTTTTATCCCCCTATATAATAGCAATAACAATAAGTGCAAATATTATATAATTTAAAAAAAGGTCACATATAAAAAAAGTAAAATAAAATAAAAGTCACATATAAAAAAAGTGAACCCCCCCCCAAAATGTTTAACTCCCCCACCCCCACGTTTACGCACCTATAAACGTAAATACGCGTCCGGTGCCCCAGCGCGCAAAAATGACAATTGCGCTACACATGTTACATATCGCCACGAACGTCGCAGTGAGAGCAATCATTTTAGGGCCATCAATCACTGATAACACTAAACTGATGAGCGGTAACAGCTTTTAAAGCGTCGCCTA